TCACAAATGCCTGATTAGAACAACTGGCAGACCCCTTAGGCCACTGGAATATTCCACCCACCTAATATTGAGTTCTCCGTAATATCTGACACTTTGCATGGCTAGTAAACTCCTCTTCCCCTGTCTCAGCGACCCAACCCACTGCCATGGTCTCTCTGTGGACCTTGTCACTCCCTAAAGCCACTGACCTCTCCAGAATGATGAATTCAATATCCCATTGTCCAACCATCTGCTGTCCTTGCTTAAGTTTCCAAAAAACCCTGACCGCACCACGTCATCCTGTCCACGTTCTCCCACATCTCTCTACCTGTACCAGCATTCTCCGGTCTTCATCTTCCCTCCCGCTCAGCACAGACTGCAAATGCAACCAAACATGCCCTGGAAGGAACTGATGATCTTCCCCTCCAAGATAATACCGCTTGCTCCTTTTATTTATTTATTTATTTTTCTATCTCAACAGATACCATTTAGGTTCTACATACTTTCTTTCACCTTCACCATCTTTGCCATAAACGTTTTCACTGCCCAACCAACTGGCCTCAAGGCAATTTTTCCATTAAAATGATAAATGTAATCCAAATCTAGTTGAGGTGTACCTTTCTACAAGTTGGTTCTCCAGAGAGTCAGGCCTTCCAACTACAAGCTGGGCATCGACTGCTGCCTTCGGTCCCTCGCTGCTGGTGCACGAAGCTAGAAGACAAGGTGGCCACTCCACAGGCTATTACTCCAGGGACCACTGCCTACAAGGAGTGACCCCACCAAGGCAGGAACAGATGTCCCTTCTCTTCCTGGGACCGCTACACAGTTTAACACCACTGCCGGTCAAACGCGGGCCAGACAGGCCTGACCACGGCAGGAGCAAGCGTCTCAAGAACTTGGAGAGCCCTCTTAACTCTGCAGGCTGTACCTAGGAAAGCACCTGTCTTCGTTCCATGAGAAATGTAAGTTTGACCCTGTGATTGATGCTCCTCCGTAGGTTCCCATCAGTAAGTCCCCAGCAGTGCCTGTCAATAGCTAAGTGTTACGGACAACAACAGATTTTAATATCCTAGCACGGCTTCCTCAATGTAAGCAAATTCACCTTTAAATCATAACAACTTCACTTAGGCCATTAAACAAGTGGATTTGAAATCATACCAAACCAACACACAACACCTCATGGTGATGGTCTTAGAAGTTAGAATTTCTTCTCGATGACAATGATTTGCTCCTAGAGTTGGTTTCTTATTTTGAAACACAGACAATGGGAAGAGACAAAGAGGCTGAGGGCCTTCTTTGATGGCACAGGGTTGAGCCCACATTTTCTACAGAAGGAAGACAAGTGCTTAGGTACAATCCACAAAGTAAAATCAATTATTTAAATAGTATTTCCTCCATAAATCTATACATATTTTAAATGTACTCAAATATTTTTTATTTCACAATAAAGTCTTTGTTATTCATTTTATCATGTTTCATTATATCCTTTTTACTGAGCCTTTTATTTGTATTTATCTTTTTTACAGCAAAATTGCCCTATAGCAAATTAGTCACACTGCAAAAATGCTTGCAGCAGAGATGTTTGCAGCAGAGATGTTTACAGCAAAGACGCTTATGGCAAAAAAAAACAGACACATATTGGTCCTGAAGTTATACACCAGGGCATTATCTAACAAGTGTTCCTTCTTGACCCACTTTAGCTAAAAATTTATTTTAAAATTCCTGTAATTTTTTTATTCTCACCCGAGGACATGCTTAATGATTTTAGAGAAAGGGGGAGGGGAGAGTGAGAGAAACATCAATGGGAGAGAAACACTGATTGGCTGCCTCTCATGCGCACCCTGACCAAACCCTCAACCTACGTATGTGCTATGACTGGGAATCGAACCCCCGACCTTTCAGTTTACAGGACCGCACTCCAATCAACTACACCACACTGGCTAGGGCATTTCCTATCATTTTTAGTTCATAAATACTTGAGTTCATCCACTTCACACCATCATCTCTGGCCTGGCTACTACAGTAACACCTTGTGAGTCTCTCTATAACCACTATCAACAACCACCCCCCACCCCGCAAGCCTGTTAGGTTTCCTGTTCTCACACACTCTGTGCTGCTTCTTGGAAGTTCCTATGAGAATTACAATTCACCAACTAACTAACTAATTCCGTCTTCAATTTCTGCCTGCACCTCATAACTGCAAGTTTCATCTTGGCAGAGCTCTGGCTGTCTCATTAACTGCTCTGGTCTTAGCTCCTAGCCACACACATGACCCAAATGAAAACACGTTCTCCTCTCTTCACATATCTAAGGCCTTCCCACAGCCTATAACTCAGTGCCAGTGTTTCCTCTTCTCTCTGTTCTCCCAAAACTACTGCCATTACTACCATACCACTCACCACGTATTGCCTTGCATCATGACGTACTGTCTGGATCAATGTCCCATCTTCCACAAAGAATATAAGCACTAAAGGACAGAAAGAATAAAATAGATATAAAAATGTCTCCTAAATGGATAAGCTAGAAAATATTTCTGCAATTATCTTAACACTAATTTTGCATTCTCTGATGCTTTTAGCATACTAACAAAATTAAGAGGATGTTGCACTGAATTAAAGTTTACAACTAATTTTTAAGATGTCCTTAATACTTGTCTTGATGACTCAGAACAATCAGCAGCTAAAAAGACTGAACATTTGTGCATATTCCATCTCTAATTTGCTAATAGATTGGGAGAAAATAACCAATTCTCCTCTCCCTCTCCATTCGCTACTTTCCTTCACAGTCAGACCAGTGTTCAAATTCAAACATAACTATAATTTTGTAGCGGTAACAGTTATCCTTGATTTTAATTCTCCACTTTTCCCATAGAAGAATGTTGTGAACATGAATGACTCTCCATGTACTTAAACTTCAGAAAAATATTCTTAAAATGCAAATATATAGTAAGTGCTAAAAGCTTTACTGGTGAAGCATTTCCCTAAAGTCTTTCTACCTAAGGTTTATCAATAGGCTCAAAGTAGCTTTTCAAATGGCTCATGAAAATTGTTTCAGGCTGTTTAACTGTATCAGTCACTGGGGTTAATAAATATCGGGCACCAAATAATATCTAAATAATGACTGTTTCTCAGTCCAAGGCGCTCAAAATAACTCTAAGGCCTAAAAACAGTTGATCTTGCCACCATGGGCTACTCTCTGTGAACAGAATTAAATTCAAACTCCATGCCTGTTATACAACGCTCTCTACAATGTGAACCCAACTTCTCCCAGGCTTATTGTCCATTTCCTTCCCCACAAAGTACCTATCACCCTGGATTTTCCCAGTTGCCTAACACCCAGCTTGTTCTTTGCTCTCACTCTTCTGAAATCTCCTGCTCTATGAGTTTGCCCACTGACTTCTACCCATCTACCTATGTCAGATGCCACCTCTTCTGTGAAAACTTTCCTGGTTCCCTTTAGGAAGTAATCCCATTCCCTCTAGACTTCCCTCTTGGTCTGTACTTACTTCTTTTACAGCACTTACCAGAGACTGTCTCATTTTATAGTCATGTGTGCACATGTCTAACTCCTCCACTAGATTATTAGCTCCTTGATGACATGGGTTGATTCATAGTCATTCCTGAATCCTTCACAGCCCCTGGCAGAGCATCCTGCACACAGTAGGTGGTCAATAAACGTTTACTGTCTCACCGATAGTATGTTTCTATGTTGCTACTATACAAGTCCCTTTCACATATATTCACAACAGACTTGCATTACCAAACCAGACAAAAAGACCTTCCCACCGATTCACACAATATTTAAGGAGCCAGTACATGTGGGGCACTGTCACAGGCCCTGCGGACTCAAGGATGAGCAAGATACACAGCCTGCAGGACTCACAGAGCTCAGAACCTGCATACAAATACATTTTTTAAAAAAACAATATAATGCAAAAACACAAGAAAAGAGGCATGCACAGAGTCTAGGAGAACACAAAGGAATATGCTGGACCTTGAGGTGGGCAACCGTCAGAATCACTAAAACTCTCACTCACTGTTTAACAGTCAACATTCACTGAGATCCTCAAGAAGGTTCCTATAGATAGAATATCTGAAGACACCGATTATGAAACTGACCTACTAAAGGCATAGTCAGGGTATGTTGTGAATGCAAACTTTAATTCAAAAGTCAAGGAATTCACTACAACTGGAAAAAGCAATCATTTTCCGCCTCTGCCTACTCCTAGGTTGGAGTTTGGAAGTAGGAAAGATGAGGGATCTTTTTGGGATAATTAACCCGTCCAGGAACATCAGTCCATGTAGAAAGAGTTGCAAAGTGTTTGTTAAGAACATCCTCTTCTCCCGTAGCTGAACCTGCAGGCCCATCAACTTCCTAGGGCTGAATTGCGCGTTTCCCTGTTTGCATCTCCCGCCAGACTGGGAGCCCCAACCGGGCAAGCGCCGGGCTCACGGTCTACCTCCCCTCCGAGACACCGGCGACCCCAGGCCTGAACCAGCGCATGCGCTCCACAAATGAATGAGAGGTCTCATTTGTCACGTCTCTGTATTTGCGGGATCTGGGCCTAGGGTCGCTTTTTTTCTTGCGACCCTTGACAAGGAGCTGTCTGAGCCTAACTTCCAGGCGCCTGTCCCCTTGGCCCCGGCCAGTAGCCCCGTTTAAATCCAGACACTCGCAAGCGCTCCCTCTTCGAACGCCCGCGAGGTGACCCTTTTACCTACAAAAAGTCTCCCGGGCCGCGAGATCACCGTCGGAGCAATGCCAGGCTTATTCTGCAGCCGCTAAAAACGGAGCACCTCCCGCGCCTCCGGAACAGGAAACGCAGGGAATTAAAAAGCAAACCTGAGAAAAAGCAGGACCGAGGGAGGGATGCTGCTGGACTCGCAGCAGCACCTCGTGCACAGTGATTGGTGCGCCAGCAAAAGTGATGGACACCTAAGCCAATCACCCTCATGAGGTTCTCCGGAGCCCGCCCCCTGCCCTCTGTGTCCTCCAATCCAGAACCGCAACCGGGTGAGCGCGTGGTTGCACTCGGGCGGTAGGAGTTGACTCTCTGTCCTTAGCAGGTCCTCGGCCAGCGTCTCGGTCTCACTGCGAGACAGCCGAGCCGCGGCAACATGAGCGACTCCGCGGGAGAAAGTGCTGGCCTCCGGCGCTACCCCGATCTCCCGGTGTGGGTGGTGGAGGATCATCAGGAGGTGAGCAGACAGAGGCGGAGCGCTGGGGAGGCCAGAGAGAACCAGAATTGGTTACCTTAGCGAGCTGCATTGAATTGGGGGGAAACACCAAAACTACTTCGGAAGCTACCTTGGGAGAATAGGCACTGGCGTTTTGGGGGCGTTTACGTTGCTTCAGGCCACTGGACGGTCTCACTGTAGAGCCCAGATCCTTAACCTGCATCTTAACTCAGGCTTCCTGCCCTCCCCGGCATCTCCAGCACAGTCCTGCTGTGTAGGTGGGAGGCTTTTTGTAAAGAATGTGGATTGTCATATGTGAAATAGGGGCAATTATAGGGCCGTCAGTATTATTGTGTGCATAGTGTGCATATATATTTTTTTTTAACGCGGTGCCCCGCGTTTCTAAACACTAAAGATATTTCCTATTGTTATGGCAGTGCTATTTTAGAATGCATGAGTGCAGGCCTCTGGAAGCCTACAAAGGAGGTACATGGATTTGAGACTTTTTTTTCTTTGAAAGTAGCATTAATAACCCTTGGGAGTTCTCCGGATATGAAAGAGGAAAAGGGTAATTCCGGGTTTACGGATGGAGACAGTTAAGAGGAGAGGAAGTTGCTCTTCTTAGGACCTGCATATAGTGTGTATGAGCATGAGAGAGAGAGCGAGCGAGTGTGAGTTAGGTGGTGATTTCAAATGCAGTCTTTTTTTTTTTTTTTTTTAATATAACTCTGTGGTTTTTTTAAATTGAATATTTAAGGTGACATTGGCTAATAAAATTATGTAGGTTTCAGGTGTACAGTTCGATGATACATCATCTGTATATTGTATTATGTGTTCACTACCCCAAATCAAGTCTCCATCCATCATCATTTAACCTCTCTTAACCCTCTTCTACCTCCCCCCATCCCCCTTTCTTTCTGGTAATTTCCATACAGTTGTCTGTGCCTATGAGGGTTTTTTTTTTTCCTTTGCTTAATCAATTTCGGTATGAAACCTAGAACTATAGAGACTGTAACAGGACAAAGCCCTATAGACCTCCTAGCCCAACCATGCCTTCCTAAAGTGAGCTGGAAGATCCAGGGTAGCTTGAACACATGTTAGTGCGTGTATTAACGAGCAGGTTTTTCTCAGTTTTTGTCTGTTTCCTCACATTTTCTGAGTTCATTGTGGCATCAAAAGATGCCCATTAAAGCCTTTGGAGATGCATGTTGAAAGTTCTGAGGAAAAGCATAAAGCTTGAGGTCATTATCTAAATGATATAAAGTGAACACTTTTTTCTACTTATATTTGCCTACTTGCTAACAGCTTGGTATGCTTCAAATTATGTGCAGTTGCACTTAGCATTGTTTTTCAGTCTGCTGTTAAGTGTAAGCTCATGATTTCAATGCCAGTTCTGAATGTGTACATGTGTCTTTTACAGGTTCTGCCTTTTATATACCGAGCCATTGGTTCAAAACACCTTCCTGACAGTAATATACGTTTTGTGCATTTTGATTCACATCCAGATCTCCTTATTCCTGTGAATATGCCAGCTGACACTGTATTTGATAAGGAAACTCTTTTTGGGTAATATATGATTTTCTTAATGATCTTGTATGTGCTTGAAATACAGTTTTCAGTAAATGATAAGCAGTTAAGGGAAATAGACATTGTTAAGCTCACAAGTTTGCTTTGTTTGTCTTTTTTATGTTATTTCAATCAAGTATTGACAGACTATTTCTTAAAGAACTAGGTAGTAGGTATTTTAGGCTGGTTGGCCATTTGGTCTCTGTTGCAACTACTTATCTCTGCCCTTGTAGTGGGAAAGCAACCATAGACACTATGTAAACAAATGGCTGTGGTTTTGTCCCAATAAAACTTTTATTTACAAAAAACAGGTGGCCCAGTCAATGATTGCCAACCTCTGCTTTAAAATATAGAATTTTACAAGTATTGTAGAAGAGACTTGTAAAGTTATCTGAGCCAGTTCTCACTTCCTCTCTGCTTTAAAAGTGTGAATATTGGGGCACAAAAGAATGTGTCTTAGCCCTGGCTACTGTGGCTCAGTGGATTGAACGCTGGCCTATGCCAATTTGCTGGTTGCTGAAAATGTTACCAGTTCGATTCCAGGTCAGAGCATATGCGTGGGCCATGGGCCAGGTCCCCAGTTGTGGGTGTGTGAGAGGCAACCAATTGATGTATCTTTCACACATTCATGTTTCTCTCCCCCTCTTTCTCCCTCCCTTCTCTCTCTGAAAAATAAATAAAATCTTTTTATAAAAATGTGTCTTAAACACATAGTTCAGTAATTTAATTTGTATATCTCTCCTTCCAGTATTGAATTTTTCCAACCTACCAATTTGTTTATTTTCAGGTCACAAATCCTACTGACAGTCAGTTCTATAGAATCATAGCGATGGAAATGAAATTGGTAATTTGTATTTTATTCTTCAGGAAGGATGTACCTAAAGTATCTCTAAATAATGACTTACTTGCCTCTCTTCTATAGGGAAGTTCCATGAAATTGCCACTTTCTCTTTATGTACATATTTGTTAGAATGTAGCCTACTTACATAATATAAAAAGTTACATAGCAGTAATTCTCCTGTTTTAATATAAAATTAAAAGAGAGATACTTAGATCGGGACTTCTGGTCAAGATAGACGCATAGGTAAACATGCCTCACCTCCTTAGACAACTACAGCAAAAATTACAACCAGACTACAAAACAAATATCACCCAGCATTGTCAGAAAAGCAAGCTGCATGGAAGTCCAACACCAAGGATTTAAAGAAGCCACATTCATCCAGACAAGTGGAAGGGGGATAGGAGAAGCGGAGACACACAGAGAGGTAGAGAGACAGAGTGGTGCAGAGACATGGACCAAGCAGTCCCGCATCCACGTGTGGTGGATATTAATCAGGAGGGATGCCTTGGTAGCAAGGGATCCCGGCCCTAGACCACACCACCCAGCCCAGGGTCCAGTGCCAGGAAGGTAAGTCCCCATAACTCCTGGCTGTGAAAACAAGTGGGGGTTGAGGCAGTAGAAGAAACTGCAGGATTCTCAAGAGATTCCTCTTAAAGGATCCACAATGCTCTTAAGACTCAGCAGACCCACACCCTCCGGGCTTCAGCACCACAGCTGGAGGGGCACAAGTGGCATACAGGGAGAAAGTGAAGTGACTGACAGCAGGGCAAGTGCTGGGAGACAGCCTCCTCCAGGGCAGAACTCCAGAGGCAGGCAGTGGCACTGTCCCCTCTGCGAGCCCTCCCCGACACAGCCACAGAGGCGCGACACGGGTTGCCCCACCCTGGCGATTATCTAAGGCTCTGCCCCGTATAACTTACAGGTGCCCTTTTCTACAGTAGGCCACGCTACTAAGACAGGGAGGCAGAGCAATGCATAGAAGCAAACATGGGGAGGCTGCCAGAATGAGGAGACAAAGAAATATGGCCCAATGAAAGCACAGAACCAAATAAAATGGAGATAAGCAGTCTATTAGATGCAAAACTCAAAACACTGGTTATCAGGATGCTCCAGGAACTCATTGCATACTTCAACAGTATAAAAAAGACCCAGGCAGAAATGAAGGTTACATTAAGTGAAATAAAAATCTACAGGGAACCAACAGTGGAGGGGATGAAGCTGAGAATTAAATCAGCAATTTGGAACACAAGGAAGAAAAAAGAATTAAAAAACTAGGATAGGCTAAGGAGCCTCTGGGACATCTTTAAACATACCAACACCATAGGGGTGCCAGAAGAAGAGGAAGATCAAGAAATTGAGAACTTATTTGAAAAAATAATGAAAGAAAACTTCCCTAATTTGGTGAAGGAAATAGACATACAAGTGCAAGAAATACTAAGAGTCCCAAACAAGATGGACCCAAAGAGGACCACACCAAGACCTATCATAATTAAAATGCCGAAGGTTAAAGAGAGAATCTTAAAAGCAGCAAGAGGGAAGCAGAGAGTTACCTACAAACAAATTCCCATAAGACTGTGCTGATTTCTCAAAAGAAACTGCAGGCTAGAAGGGACTGGCAAGAAGCATTCAAAATAATGAAAAACAAGAAGCTACCACCAAGATTACACTATCCGGCAAAGCTATCATTTAGAATCGAAAGGCAAAGTGCTTCCCAGACAAGATAAAGCTAAAGGAGTTCATTATCACCAAGCCAATACTATATGAAATGCTAAAGGGAACGATATAAGAAAAAGAATATCAAAACGATGAACAATAAAATGGCAATGAATTCACAACTATCAACAATTGAATCCAAATAACAAGCTAAGCAAACAAGCAGAACAGAGTCAGATATGGATATCATTTGGAGGGTTATCACTTGGGAGGGAAAAGGAAGAGAATGGGGGGAAAGGTGCAGGGATTAAGAAGCACAAGTTGGTAGGTACAAAATAGACAGTAGGATGTTAATAGTATAGGAAATGGAGAAGCCAAAGAACTTACATTTCATGACTCATGGACATGAACTAAGGCGGGGAGGGATTGCTGGAAGGAATGGGGGTACTGGGAGGAGGGGGTCAAAAATTGGGACAACTGTAATAACAGTCAATGAAATATATCTTTAAAAAACAGAGAGATGCTTGTCTGAATTAATTACATTTGACTTTTTCCAAAACCCCAGTTCAGACCACTGGTTTATTTAGAGGTGTTATGATTCAGAAATTGAAAATAATTATGAAGCAGGTATGCAGACTGTACAGTTAGTCATAGAATAATAGTATTAGACTTTTTAGTCTCAGGATTCACAAGTACCCGTAAAAATTATTGAGCTTTTTCTTTAATGTGTGTTATAACTATCAGTATTTATCATTTTTGAAATTAAAACAAATGTTTAAAATATTTATTTCAAAATAACAATAGACCTTCATATGTTGGCATAAGTAAGATATTTTTATGAAAAACATTTTCTAAAAAAAATTAGTGGAAAGAGTAATAATGTTTAAATTTTTATAAATCTCTTTAATATTTGCCTTCATAGAAGATTCTCATATCTACTGCATTCAGTAGGATGCCATATGTTGTTTTGGTGGAAGTATATGAAAAAAAATTCAGTAAGAGAATTTTCATAGCGTTTTCAGATAATAGTGAATATTCTTTAATACTATACCAACGCTTCACAAGTGGTAGTTTCTTGAAAGCTTAGACCATATAATCCAACAATTCATATTCAAATCTGAATAACCATGGTTTATCAATCTGTCTTTCAAGAAAAACGGTGTTTTGCTTGCCATTCAATCACAAGTGCTTTTCCTTGAGACTTCAAAGTATGTACCAGTAGTACCTCCTGTGCACTTCTAGTTTTACCACACGGAATATTTTAAAATGTACACTCAAGATCAAGGTTTAATCATGAAGGATATTTTTATGTGAAACTGGCTGGGTGGGGGGCGGTTAGTGGTTGGTTGTGAAGAATACAATGACTGCTAGTGTAGTGTGGTGCCGTTGCCTTGATGAATCTTACAGCACCAACCCACCGTGGCTTTGCTCCGCCTGTGCAAATGTCAGCACCATGCAAAAGAGAAATAATGCCTCAATGCTTAAGGGAAATTGCTTTTAACTAATAGTCACAGGAAGTATCTCGGGAACCTTCCAACTCGTCCCTGAGACCACACTTTGAGACCTGCTGCCTTAAAATATTATCGTGAATGAAAGTACATTTGGGAAAAAAAAATCGCTCACTGTTAGTTTTCATTCTTCTTCTCTATTTCTTTTCCAGAGAATTAAGTATTGAGAATTGGATTATGCCTGCAGTTTATGCTGGCCATTTTTCTCATGTAATATGGCTTCATCCTACGTGGGCTCAGCAAATCAGAGAGGGTAAACACCACTTTTTAGTAGGCAAAGATACTTCTACCACAACAATCAGGTAACTTCCTCATGTTTATGAGTACAAAAGAGGTTGAATGCTGCTTCTATCTCATTTTGGATTCCTGTAATAACTTGTAAGTGTGTCTACACACATATAGAGTCAAATTAAGCCTCAGCACTTCCATAAAGAGTTCTCAGAACATCAGGAACAAGTTTTCAAGCCTCTTAAACTTCCTCACGCACCATTTATATTTTGGTGTTGGCCAGGTTTGGTTTTGAATAACATGATCTTCATCTTCTGGAATTCTGGCCCCGCTGATGACTAACTCCATTAAATCATTGAAATACTTTTTAGATTTGCACATTTAATGATACATTTACTATTTCCTTCCAATATAACTATGGTGTGCTGAATGGAGGAATTAACTGTGAAAAAGCAAAATTAACACACTTTTTTTAATATAAATCTAATGGCTAACAAGTAGATTTGGGGTTTTAATTTTATTATGATTAGATAATCTAAATTACATTACAGAATTCTCTGGTTTGGGTTACATGTACAACTATTTTTGTAAAATAAGCTATGTAACCAAGTTTTGTGCATCTTCTGAGTTCTCCTGTGATAGGATGAATGTTTTAAGTAGTAGAACTATAACTTTCTATAACCTGAAGGATATAGGGATTAAATGGTAATACATTGAAAATGAAATAATCATTCTCATTGAAAATGATACTTTTTACTTCTCACTTATCCTTAATGATACAATTAACTTTTCTTGCATATTTTTATCAATTACACAAATAACTTTATTGTGTATACATGAAATTTAATTTATTGAGAATATAATAATAAATAGGGTTCCTCATACAATAAATATTATACATAATACTGGTATATATGAAAGAGTGGTAGTGTCTTTATTGAGTGCTTCAGTGAGTAAGCCTACTTTAACCTGTAATAGATTGCTGCAAAATCAAGTAATTTTGAGCAACCTGAAACAGACATTTGAAACTCAGTGTATAATAATATTAGGAAGATTTTGATTATCTCATGATTTTAATGCTGCAAGTAGAAATTTATGGAAGAGACATACATGTAAGTATGTAGTGTGAAATTGTGTTTGTATTGACATGAACAAAGTAAAATACCCATTATTGAAGAAGAATGCAGATTGAGGTTAAGGGGTGCAGCCTTTGTACAGGTTTCAATAAGCCTGGACGTTAGTCTTATTGTGTCATTAATCTTTTCAGAGAAAATTATATCTTTTTAAATGTAAAACTGTATGTGTTGGAGTAGGGTGATTAGGAAATAAATATTAACCATTATTTTATTTGGATAGAGTCTGCCTCTAGAAGAAGCATTTGATTTCACTGTTCATAATACTTACCAAGGCATAATATAGTTTAAAACCTAGGATCATGCCAGTATGTCTAAAATCAGAAATCTGCAACTTGTGAAATATGTTCTGCATGTGTACAAAATTTTTTAAAAATTGTTTTTATATTAAAAGGTTATGATTATATAAAGTTTAATTAAGCTTTGAAATACATTGGAGGGAGCTTCTATTAAGAGAAATTATTTGCAGATGTAATTTTTGTCTTAAGCAGTTTTTGGGGGGTAACGTTGCGACTGGTAAAAGAGAAAGCCACAGCACTGGCTTAAACGGGATTGTGTCTTTCTTTCTCATATTAGAGTTCACCACATACACTCCAGGGCAGTTCTGTAGGTTGGGTGACCCCAGTGTCTTCGGTCTTTTTTGCTCCATCGTCTCTAGAACGTTGCCTTTGTCCTCGTAGTCCAAGGTGGGCTTGCCACTGCCGTGTCGTATGCCAGTCAGTGGGGAGGGGAGAGCAAGGCGAGAACTCAGTCAGATGGCCACGCCTCGCTGCAGGACGGGCTATGACTTCGGGCAGTTGGGTGCCCAGCTACAAATTGAGGGAATGCTATTTCTACGGAAGGACGGGAAGTACAAATATTAGAGACAGCTCCCAGTTTTTGTCTAACATGTTCTTTATACATCCGCAGTGCTGTAGAAATGCTTTATGAAATGTCAGCTGATTTGTCCTTTCATCTTTAAAATAGTTTTTTCCTCTGATCCAGGGTTACAAGTACAGATCATTACTTCCTAAGTGATGGTCTTTATGTAACTGAAGACCAGCTAGAGAATCAAAAACCTTTACAATTGGATGTAATTATGGTAAAACCATATAAACTCTGTAACAGTCAAGAAGAAAATGATGCAGTGTCTTCTGCTAAGAAACCAAAGCTAGCACTGGAAGATGCAGAAAACACTGCCTCTACTAACTATGACTCTTATTCAGAAGGATTGGAAAAGGACACAGTGACACAGAGAAGCGTCCAGCCTTGCCTAGAACCTTCCCACTCATGTTCTTCTGAAAGCCAGGAATGCCAGACTACAGTCAGCACTGGAGAAATTCTGGAAATTTTGAAGAAAGGGAATGCATTTGTTTTAGATATTGACTTAGATTTTTTTTCAGTCAAGAATCCCTTCAAAGAAATATTCACTCAGGTAAATGTGGTATTTTTAAAACATAGATCTTGAGAATTATATGACATTTCTCTAGGTTAGGGATCAGCAAACTTTCTGCAAAAAGCCAGATAGTTATAGTATGTCTTCATTAACGGTCCTGTACAGCCTCTGTCACATATTCTTCCTTGTTGTTCTTTCATATCCTTTAAAGTCGTTTATGTGATTCATAATTTGAGGGTCATCACAAAAAATGTTGTAGGCCATAGGTTGTCAATCCCTGCTCTAGATAATACTTATTATTTTGCATTAATTAATTGGGGTAGTGTGTACATGGGTGGTTGGAAAAAAACAAAGGCATATCGTAGAAGAAGTGTGTACATTATAGAATGTCAGTCTCGCCCTGGCTGGTGTGCCTCAGTTGGCTGAGCGCTGGCCTGCGAACTGAGAGGGCGCAGGTTCAATTCCCGGTCATGGCAAACGTGCCTGGGTTGCATGTTTGTAACGATTCCATGTCTATAAAACCCTGTATAACAAATTATTTGGTGAATAAGAAGATGCCTAATTACACAGAGATAGAATTAGGCATTTAAGAAACTATTAAGTTTGTGACCCAAATGATCATTCCTAGGTGCATTTTATGGGCACATATATCTGCCTGCCTTAGCATTCAGGAAGTTGTTCCAAATCTGTTTTGAGAGGGTTCAAATTTACTCTCTTTTTTCTAAGTTCAGTATTGATTTATAATGGTGATGCTGTACTTTACAATCCTTATTCTATATGCATATCAGAAGCCTTGTGATTTATCTAAATAATCAAAGGCCTCTACTTATCATTCCCAGATGGATGGAGTTACCCTGAAGAAATGATAATATTTACAATGAAATCTCAATTATACATTTTGCCTGATTTTCCCAGACTAATCTTTAAGTAATTATCTAAGATGATCTAGAATCACAGCTATTTTTTACTTAAAACAATCATTTTTAAAAATTAATTTTTTTCTTAATATATGAATTTTTTGTTTTGTTTTTAGGAGGAATATAAAATCTTACAAGAGCTGTACCAATTTAAAAAGCCTGACACCAACCTGACGGAGGTATCCTTCATTTATTTCTTCAGGTTTTATCTATTTATCACATATTGAATAACATCTTACAGCTTATTAGAGTGCTCTCAGACAACCGTCCAAAATATTTGTGTGTGTGTTTATTGGGGAAGTCCATGACTGGTACATGGAAATCATGTTTTAACTAATTGAACCGAGATTTTCATTGTAATGGGATTTCACTTGTTTTTTGAAAGAATAACTATAATCTCAGCTTTCCTCTTCATTTAAAGGAAGATTTGGTAGATTGTGTTGATACTCGAATTCACCAGTTAGAAGATTTAGAAGCTACTTTTGCTGATTTGTGTGATAGTGATGATGAAGAAACTGTACAGAAATGGGCTTCAAACCCTGGGTAAGACCCTCAGACATTTTTCTTCACCTCCACTATATTTCAGTCCTAGATATATTGCTAGATTTACTAAATTGCTTTTAAAAAGTAATATTAAATTTCAACACAAATTTACTAGCACTTGTTAGCATTTATTATTTTCTACATGCCCAATATAATTCTCATTCTAAGATTTTTCCTTGCATTATCTCATTTATTTCTTAAAACAATCTTATGGCTTAATAATTATTGTTTCTATTTTATGGATAAGGAAACTAAAGCACAGAAGTTAAGTCACCCAAGATCACATAGTAAGTCGGTGTGCTTTTAGTCACTGTGTAGCAGCTGCCCCTACTATGTGTAAGATGTGGTGGCAGGTTTCATGGAAGATTAAAAATGAGTAAGACAGTCCCTGTTCTAAGTAGAATAAAAAAAAAAAATTAACTGCCCTGGCTGGTGTGGCTTAGTAGGTTGAGTGCTGGCCTGTGAACCAAAGAGCTGGTAGTTCGATTCCCAGTCAGGGCACATGTCTGGGTTGTGGGCCAGGCCCCCGGCAGGGGGGACGCAAGAGACAATCAGACATTGATGTTTCTCTCCCTCTTTTCCCCCCTCCCTTCCCCTCTATCTAGAAATAAATAAATAAAATTTTAAAAAATTAACCTGTCAATACAAAGGTAAGTTACTAGACTGCCAATTGTAATGCAAAAACTTTTTAGGATAGCCCAACTACAAGTAGAAGAGTTTATATTCAAGCTGCCCATAGCATCAGGGAGCAAGATTTGAAAGCTGGGTTTTTCTTCGGGTCATTTATTTGGCCAGTTCTCTCAGTGTTGACCAGCATTGAAAATAGGGAAATCATCTATTAATTTGTGGAGGGCAGTGGGAGGGCGGAGAATGCCTTTAGTATCAATGCTAGTTGGAAAGGATAGTGACATAAATAGCATAGTTATTCTTCTCTAAAATAACTTTTTAAATTACATAAACTCAAGAGACCAGGAAATTAAAATAGAACTTTTTGTCCCCAGGAGCACAGAAGACCAAAACTAGCTTATTTTCAAATTGATCACCCACAACCTGAGATTATTCTCCCTATTGTAAACATAAGAAACCAGTCATAAGATAGCAGTAACAGGATGAGTGGGTGGACAGGGTTTCCTGCCTCCTTTTTTCTTTTTCCCTCCCAGCAAACGAGTGGACCTTGGTGGAGAAGGCATTGAAATACTAGAATTATTAATTAATCAGGGCTTCTAGAGAGTTCCACCTAAATTAAATACCTTAAATGCACCACTCTTACTGTATCAAACAACAGAGAACTTTTCCCATTATATTGTATATATGTCAATAAATATGACCTTAATTTTTCTTAAAACCTTCAGGAAACTTTTAACACTGTATGCTTAAGACACTTAGTTTTCTTTTTGATCAAAATGACTTTTTAAAGTCACAGTAGAACTTCCATTTTTAAAGACAAGGAAAATCTCAGTTTCTCAGGTGCTAATTTTCAGCATTTAACATAATCTGTAATCTTTTTACAAAGGTAAGAAAACAGCAGGGAACATTTATTTCTTATATTTTAATTTGGTATGTGAACAGCTTTACTTTTTTATTTCCCAAGAATCATATGAAACATATTGTTAATGATGAATTTCAAGGATAATGTATCATTGGCTCCTGTAATTTTGGTTGAGGTGGTGTGATTTTTAATTGAGGTGTGGCTTTTTTTCCAGAATGGAATTACTGGTTCCACTTGTACAGAGTTTGAAAAAAAGGATGGACGTGCCAGACTATGAAATGGTAAATATTTTATATTGAAGTAAAAAATTGACCCTTTTCAAGGGCATTTTTCTGGATAGAAAAATATGCTTTTTGTTAAAGTGGGTCACTTTTATTTGTGTTCCTGGGACGTGTGAATGCATTATTTTTCTAAGTGATGAAAAAAAATACATGCTTTTTAGAAGCTGGAACATTTTTCAGTTTTCTAGAAAAAACATACTTTTCCTCATTTTATCTATGAAACAAACCAGCTGTGTTCTATTTTGGTCAGATCTCTTCTTCCCAGAGAACAGAAAGAATAGTTTCTAATGTTGTTCATTCTTTACTTATTCATTTATTTATTTTTACTTCTTTCCTCCTCCTTTCTTTCATCAGTCTGTAAACTTTTCTGATTATAAAAACCAAACAGAAAGACACAGGAAGGTGCTCTGGTGGGTGCATTTTAATAGTATCAACTGTGTAACTGACTTTGCCAACAGTGATCTGAATTCAGTGGCAAAAGAAAGTGCCATTAGTGATAATCTCTTTTATTTTTATATCATTCTGCGGTCTTTGAAGCACAGATTTTCCCAGCTGAAGATCACGTGCCTTTGCTCTCTCTGATTTTGTACCAGAGCTGAGACCCCCAACCTTCTGTTGTTCTTTTAGTTCTAATGATTCTTGTACTTCAGTAGTGTTTTTCTTTAGTATTTTATTTAGTCATGAAATATAATCAAACCTCCTTATTTACACTAAAGTTTACATATTGATTTAACGTTAACTTTATGAGAATAAAAAATGCCCCCCCCCCAAAAGAATGTTTTGGTTAAATAGTGGCTAATCCAAGACTCACCCTTCTTTCTTATTTAATTTTTATTTATTACATTTAACATTATTTTGCACAACGTAACGGTGAGACAGTCATACTTTACACAGTTTTCTCCCAATATTTCTAATACCCTGCTGGCACCATACATAGGCATCCTTCTTTTTAATGGCAGTTACTAAAAATGAAAGAGTTAGAGGACACTTAGGGTTTAAAAATGCTTTGAACTCATGTGATATTAATGAACATGTCTTCAGCAGGTCTACTTTAATTGTTCCATTATGTCTGGATCTTCTGGTGGTTGGAAGGGTTTTATATGTTGAAAGAAGGGATGTCATGGGTTTGGTCGCAGATTACATAATCAAATACAGTGTGTCCATAGCTACAGGGTTAGAACACTACGTGTTTCAGTCATTTTAGTAGAAAAGATAAAGCATGGTTTGTCATTTTATAATACTGTAATACATTGATGGAGCGGTCGTTGCCAGTGAAATCTTTGATGTTAATCCAGAGCCTCCAATAAAATGGCAGATTAGTGTTTTTTCCCTGCTTTGCACTCTTGTACGCTAGGCAAAACTGTGACATATTTGAGATCCCGCTTTCCAAACTTTAAAGCAGAAACTGCAAAATGTCAGCTTGGGAGCCATTTCCAGCTTTCAGACACACTTAGTTTAATGCCAGTCGTTTACAATTAAGACATATACAGATATCAGTAGTGTGTGCTTATACATAAAGGACACAGAAGAAACTGGTAACAGGAAGCAAGAAAAGGATGCACAGTTAAATAAGATAAGAGGAAAACTTTCCCTGATACCCTCTTAAAGCTTTGAATGTAGTACTAAGTGCATGTACTTAAAAAGAAAATAATATGTTGGAACAAAAAATAAGGTGAGAATATTATGTGTAGTTTCATATCAGTTTTTAGAATGTAGGTAAAATAGATAATTTGCTAGAAAATGTGAATTATCAGACTCAAAGACAGAAACTGAGTGACTCCATAATCATAAAATAAATTTAAAAAGTAGTTAAATAATTATTTCTAGAAAAGACATCAGGCCCAAACAAGGGTATTGGTCAGTTCTTCCAAACTTGATAGAATAGATAACTTCTGTGGCACAGAAGTTATTAAGGAAAAAATAATCCCAAGCCACAAAAATATTAAAAGACTTGTCAGCAAGGGCATTAAATGGTTAAAGAATCTTCTAAAACCAGCAAAGCCTTACAGTACAATTTTTAATTGTCTTATATTCAGGTTCACCAGGCTGGTCTAACCTGTGATTATTCAGAACTTCCTCACCATATCAGCACAGAACAAGAAATTGATCATCTTATTCAGTCTGTGTATTATTTACTGAAAAATTTGCCAAAGCCTACTCTTGTGACAATTGCAAGGTAAGTGTGGTAGCCTGAATAAAGTCCCCTCAAAGATGCCACAATCCTAATGGTAGAAACTTGTGAATATGTTGTCTTAAATGGCAAAGGGGACTTGACAGATGTCGATTAACTCGAGGCTCTTCAACGAGGAAATCATCCTGAATTTTCTGGGCGGGTGCAATGTAATCACGGGGTCCGCAGAGGGAAGACAGGAAGGTCAGAATCGGAGAAGCTGGAGGATGCTGGGACGTTGTCTTTGAAGACGGAGGGTGGGCCCCTGAGCTGAGGAATGAGTGCAGGCAGCCCGTAAGCGGGAACGGCGCAGAGACAGGTTCTTTCCCAGAGGCCAGGGAAGACGCGCAGCCCCGCCAGCACCTTTATCCAAGGACTTCTGACCTCCCTCAAAACCCTAAGGTAATAAATCTGTGGCGCTTTAAGCCTCTAAGTTTGTAGCAGTTTGTTACAGAGCAGTAGGAAATTGATACAAGCTCCACAGATTAATCTGATGATTACTAATATAGTAATTCTTATAATTTTTTATTCTCTCAGCTCAAATTTCAGATGTATTTTCTCTTTACTCTTAGTAATAGTTGGCAAACAACCTGTTACCTTGTCTTTGAAGATGGGGATGTTATTCAGATAAACACAAGAATTCCCATTTCTGTGTCCTATGGAGGAATATTTAGCTGCTGCCATGTTTTAAATTCAAACATACTATATGTTTAGTTACAATTGAATATATCTTTCTTTTCTATGTTAATCTTTGGTTTTCTATAGAACTGACATTCTAGAATAAGTGCTTTAAATATATAAATAATATTTATATTTTTTAGGACAAACATTTTGTTGCATTTTTTACCATCTTGAAACAAAATTCCTAGAAAATCTAGCCTACATACATGCATAATTTAAAAATATATAGATATTATACATAATACATAGTTAATGTAATTGTCATAGTCCACTCAGGCTGCAGTAACAAAAATGTCATGGAGCTATTGCTTATAAACCACAGAAATTTCTTTCTCCCAGTCCTGGAGGCTGGGAAGTCCAAGATGAGGACTGGGGGCCTGGGTCACAGACAACACCTTCTCCCCGTAGCCTCTCGGGGCGGAGGAAGCAGCGCTCTGGGGCCTCTGTTCTAAGGGCACTAAATCGCATCTATGAGGCGCCCACCCTCCTGACCAAATCACCTCCCAGAGGCCTCGCCTTCCGATGTGACCGCACTGGGGATTAGGGTCCAATATATGAGTTTTGCAGGGGGAGTGAGGGTACACAGACATTTAGTCTTAGTTTATAGCAGCAACCTACTTATACATGGAATTTAAATATATATTTGTATATGTATATACACAAAAATGTCATGGTAACAACATAAATGAGAAATGAAAGTAATTCATAAAGGCAATGTGTATTAAAAAATGCCACACTAGACTTGCCACTTTACAAAGAGTCACTAAATGTAACGGTTACAAATGCAAAGAGATACTCACACGTTGTATGAGCCAACTACCATGAACCTGCCATAGTGACATGGTTTTGCTAGTCAGAACAACCCCTTGGTAAAGTTCTGAACTTAAAAGTCCAATCTTCCCTCAATTAACAGTAGTGAGTTTCATTTCTGAAAAATTTAGTACATATTAAATCCATTTTCAAAAATACTTTGTTCATATGTAGAGGAGCATTAACTTCTAAATTCAAAAAATTAAAAACAGAGCCCAGGCTGCTCACTTGCGTGAGTGCTCTGTGGGCTCTGCAGAGGGCGCAGGACGCAGGACAGCGACCCCTGTGTGCACTGCAGGCTGCCCTGCACGCTGCAGGCGTTCTTGCAGCCCTACCGCGTTTCCCCTAATTGTGCTTTGACCGTCAAAGTGAACCCGCAGAGCTCCAAAACTCTTGGGCATTCCCATCAAGAACCATTCTCAAAGTGTTAATGAGGCCAAACATTTTTCTGAAAGCATGTAAGTGTTCCTTATTTATCATAAATTAATCTTTTATATATGATGCTTTCTTAAAGTAGGTCTTTATCCTTATGTACATTTTGGACAGTGATTTAAAATTGTTCTATATCATTTATTATGTGTTAAGTAGTTACATCAAGCCTCAAAAATAACCTTATCATCAGAGAATGGAATGAGTTTACAGAAGTCTTACAGATTTCTTTAGTTCTAAAACACTTGTGGTAGGGAGTGGGCTATATAACTAATTCCATATATCTGTCTGTAAAACTGTCTGTGCTCTCTCCCCCATCCCTGCCTCACCCCATTTCAGAACCAGGAGACACTGATCAAATCATTTCAGATCTTAATCCAGCCGTCATTGTCAGTGACGTTGTACCTGCCTGGCCATATGAGTTGTAGTTGGCGATTCTAGAAAGACTCCCCAAAATACGGATTTCTGTCCCATCCCACTTGGCTCTTTTCTCAATACTTACTACCTGGGAAACAAATCCCTTCACTAGCACATCCCCACATTTCATTCTGGACATTCTGGACATTTCTTTCTTTTCAGAAGCGGGGCCCTTTTATCAGTTGGAAAGCCTCTACCCTCATAATTTTAGCCCTGACATACACATAGAAGAATGAGAAGCGCTGGCTCGTGTGGCTCAGCGGGTCGGGCATCGCCCTGCACACGGGAAGGCCACCCATTCAGTTCCCCGGTCAGGGCACACGCCTGGGTTGCAGGCCAAATCCCCGGTTGAGGCATGTAAGAGGCAACCGATCGATGTTTCTCTCCCCTTCTTTCTTCCTACTTTCCCCTCTCTCTAAAATAAATAAATAAAATATTTTTTAGAAAAAGAATGAGCAGGATGCCCAGTCAAAGATAATAAGCCCCAGGATTCCCAAGCAGCATGTCCCTTTCAGGCAAACATCAGCCTGGCGGTGGAGCACTGAGGCTTTGAAGACAGGCCCTGGGGTTCATTTCCTATCACCAGCACTGCTTACGAGCTGCTAGCTATGTGACCTGTGCAGGTTAATCTTTCTCTGTTTCAGACTCCTTTAAAGGGAAGATAAAATGTACCTATTTCATAGGGTGGCTGAATGGCTGAGAAGATGAAAGAACATAACTTTGTGTCATGTGCCTGCCATGAGTGAACATTTAGTACCTTTTAACTATTGTCATTCCAAAATTCAGCACACTTTCGTTCTATTTTACATCGATATCAACACATACAGGCTCTTCTTCACTGCACAGTATGATCTCATTCTATTTGTGGTTTTTTTTTTTTCTCTTGTTTGTTCCAGGTCAAGTCTGGATGATTACTGTCCTTCTGAGCAAGTTGACACCATTCAAGAAAAAGTCCTCAATGTGCTACGCTCCCTCTACGGGACTCTGGACATTCACCTGGTGTATTCGGCAGAGTCTTCTCCATCTTGAAACAGCCGAACACTAGGCTCCTATTACATCTCGATGTAATAACAGGGTTTTCATTAACTTATTTGTAAATGTGTCTTCTAGAGAACACTTCGTTTTTCTGTTAACTTTGACTTAAAATCTTTCGGGTACCGTCAGTTGCTGAGTGATGGCAATTTTGTGGGCATGAAGTCTATCCCTGTTGCTTATCTTTCTCCTTTTCTGTAATTGTCTCCGCTTTTGTCAGGGTGTTTTTTTGTTTGTGCTATTGCAGATGTCCCCGACCTTTTTTTTTCTTCTCCTGAGACGGTGTTTCTTTTCCCCTCTTTTCTCATTTTTCTCCTAGGTCAGTTGGGCTGTATGAGATTCATTCATTCATTTATTCACTCAGCCAACTGACGTTTATTGAGCACTTACATGTGCCAGACAATTCAGTGCTGGGTATATGGTAATGAACAGAACAGACAAGGCCCCTGCCCTCTCGAGGGACAGCTAAGAAACAAATCATGGATTGTAAGAAATGCTAGGGAGGAAAGGACAACCACAGGCATGTCTGAGGCATGCTCTTAGCTCTCAGGGCACCCTGGCCTTATAGGAAAGTAAGTCTCAAAAGCTGCTACCAAAAAATAATTAGTAATAGTAAACAAACTTGCCAGTCCATGAGAATGTTGCCAGGAGTCTACCTCTCCGAGACTGTCGGTGCTGTAACCCAGCTCTTGCTAAAAACGCTCTCAGCACTGTTGGTATTGAGGGGGTCTATTTGAGTAAACTCAACCAAACAAAAATTAACCCTAGTTTGCTGGTCAAAAAGCCCTCCTGGGGAACTGCATCCACCATGATGGTCAATGTGAGCATTGATCGTCATTATAGTTCTTGAATGCCACTTTATTGGCAGTCTGGGTAGATACTTCTCCGAAACAAACCAGCTCTTTGTGTTAATAGTAGGAAAAAAGTGAAATCTTTAACTCTGACCTACCATAAATACTGCCTTCCATCAGCTTCCCCATGAGTAAGAGACCCTGTCTGACTGGCTCTTAAGCATGGAACTTTTCATTGACTTAATTGGCCAAAGTCTTTCCCCTCTTCAGCATTCATCATGCTTGGTAATCACTTTTAACTACCTACTTGATTCCAGGTAGGATGGCATTTAAAGAAAAAAATCAATTATTCCTCAATCCTAGTACAGTAGTTGTTTTCATGTTTGCATGTAACTTTCAAGCCTTGACCATATGCATACTTGTTGAATTGCACGTAACTAAAAATGATAGTGTTACCTAACTTAGTGGCCGATACCCAAGGTTGCATTACCACTACCACTCACTAGATGGCACCAGATCCCTCCCCCCCCCCCCCCATGACTATTTTCCGATGAATTTTTCTTGTCACTAAGTTCATTTTCCAAAGGTCATAGTGTGGATGCTTATTTCTGATGTGAAAAAGTAAAGCAAACTGACCTAATTTTTCATTCGGATAGAACATTATGTGTCACAAAGCTTTATTTCTCTGTAAAATGAGAATTGCAAAATAGTGCTGTTATTTATTTTTAAATTTTGAAAAATTTTTATTAGAGTTCTGTAAAAGAAGTTACTTTTATGAGTGAATTAATTTTCTGTGCTAGAAGAAATAAAAAGGTGTGTGTTGAGACTTTAAAGATTTAAAACCCAGCCATAGCACTAATTAATTGCATCTGATCTCAGGGTGTTCATAGCATTGACCTTACGCGCCTGGTTTAGTTAGCAGTCATTTATTACAATTCTTATGAACTGTGATGTGAGTCTTCATTGTTTTAACTCAGGTAGAGTAAAAGAGCATCAATTTCCTTTCTGGGAACACCTGGATTATTTAGTCTCATGCTCTGTAATTCTCTTAGAAGAATGAAGTTCAGTCCTTACTTGTTGACTGGAAATTTCATGTAGGAAGATACCGAACTTATCATGACAGCCTTCATATGTGTTCTAAATACCAATGTGGAATACCACAGTACAGTGTTCAGGATTAGGTATGGATATCACTGAAGCATGAGATTTTCAACAGCTTTTTGAGAAATGTGACTTAAATGTAAGCATAGACTATAACTTTGCTATCTTTTAAGTGTTCCCGGTTCTCAGGACCTCTTGGTCAAAGTCCTTCATTCTTTATATGATATTATCTCCAAATACTGATTTTTATTTTATCAGTAGTTGCTCTGAATTGCTGGCAACATATTCATCGAACTGCCAGTAATTTATAGTCAGTGGTATGTTTCCTAATACAAGACTGTCTCATTCACCGTACATCTTAAGAGGACACTTTCCCGAAAGGCTAGGCGTTTTCGTCGGAATGCTGGTCTTTCAGGAATGCTCGGGGCCCGTGAGGCGCAGCTGTGTACGTGCCGGGGTGGCCCTGTGCGGGGCTGCCGGGCCGCCCTGAGCCGCAGCGCCCTTGGGGTGCTCCGGAGCTCGCCGGCCCCGGCCGCCCCGGCCAGCGCTTCTGGCTGCGCGCCAGGGGCCCAAACGTCCGCGCCGTCTTCCCCCTTTATTCTCGCTTAAGTTCAAGAGACGAAGCTGTGCCCGAGGTTTCTGTGAAGTGGACTCTCAGGAGAGAGCTCTCTGAGCAGAAAACAGTCTGGTCGCTCACTGGAAGGCTGCGTCTTCCCATTGCAAATCAGTAAGCTGACATTCTATACGTTAGTAGTTTGTAAGTGGTTCTGTGATTCCGAAGCAGGAACCCATCACAGAGGGGGCAGCTAGGCCAAAGCCGCCTGGCTCAGCTTCCTTTGCAGACCTCCCTGGCCTACAGCTGTGGCGTTCCTACCATGTCTCTAACTTCAAAACGCCCTTCAATAGCAAGCAGACCTCTGAAGCCGTCAGCCTTCAGCGCTGTGTAGGAGCCGTAGCACCTGGGCTGATGGGAATCCTGCCAAGATGGGGACACGTCATGACTGAAATACAGTCACGCGCACAGTGGCAAGTATGAGCTTCAGAGGGCAACTGCCTGGCTCCGGGGTCCCCCTCTCTACTCAGCCTCTTTATTTTTTTTTTAACAATAAGAGAACTCATCAGCATATTGTGAGGAATAGCACATGCAAAGCCCTTAAACAAGAACCGTTCAGTAAACACTGGCTCTCATTTCCAAACTCAGCCCTCATTAGAATATCCTGTGGTGGTTATTTCGGGTCTCAGCTGCTCTCCTCATGCCTCTCCTAAATACTGATGTTTTTAACCACCACCTTAGCGTCCACTTTATTTCTGTTAACAGAGTTTCAGTTTCTTTGTTCAAAGAGGGCAGGTCCTTGCCATAAGGAGAGAAGTAACAGGGCTTTAAGCAGAGTTGCTCGTAATTTAAAATTTTTGCCTTGCAATTGGAACAAGCATCCATTTATTCACTATTTTAAAACCTATCCGCACGTGCAGTCGGGGGGTTAGGGAAATCGAAGCCTGCCCGGCTTTGTTTTCCTCATTATACTTTCCCTCCTGCCTGCTTTTAAGTCAATCTAGGATTTCTGCTGCTAAACTTCTGATATAGACAGTGTTTGGAAGTTGCCACCCGCCTGGACTAATAAGTTACATTCATGGAATCTCATGTTACCTTATCATTCTTGACATTGCTGATTTATAGGTGACCTGGAGCAAAAAAGTCAATCAGCCGGAGCGATCCACTGTCACTTCCCAACGCCTCCCGAGCAGTCCGTCCTCTGGGCCTCAGGCTTAGGCAGAGCGGCCTCTGCTTGTTGGGGATCAAGGAGAATGGGATCATTACAGAAAAGGGAAATGTCTGTCGGTTTGGCCTAAGAAGGTTACGTGGCAGCCTGCACAGGTGACCCCACTAGCTCAAGGCGGGAGACGGAGTCGGAGCTGGAGCTGGGCTCCGGCGCCACGGGTGGGCAGAAGCCACGCGGAGATCTGCGCAGCCCCGCCGCACACCCTCTGCAGTGGCGTCCCACCCGGGGCAGCGAGCGGCCGCCGTCACGAAGTGGCACTGGAGAGGTCGGTGGCTTTGAGATCGGGCCAGGTTCAAGTACTGCCTCAGCCAGTCACCAGCGTTGTGAGCTTGAACAACTGGGCTTGTCCGAGTCCCTCGCTTCAGAGGTGGCTCGGGGCCTGTGGTGAGGGCGCTCGTCCTGCGCCCCGGCACCGCACGTTCTTCGCTGATCACATCCGCCCTCCCCAGGGACGGCGCGCTCCTCTGGTGGCCCAGGCTCCGGCGTCACTCCTGTCTATCACAGGGCCGCACAAAACGCTGAGCGAACTAAGGAGCCCAGGAAACGGCGGTCGCTGGAGGCTTGGCAGTAATAAACCATTATACACCCCCCTGTGAGTGTGCTGTCTTTGAGAGTAAGCTGAACACATAAAGGTATCATACAAGAACAAACAGTTACCAAGGACTAGGTGTGTTAAACTCAGGAGTCCAAAAGAGCTAAAAATAATACCTGCAATCCACTAATTGTGTCCACAGAGTGACTCGTAACGGTTTTCCAGCTATTGTGTCATCTGTTCTCCTGGACCAAACCTTGTAAGAACCATGCTCCACGATGCCTATGTCAACACAGTGTAAAAATGCATATAGTTTGATTTTCTGCCTAAACTTCACATCTAACATTGGACACTATTGTCCAAAAACTGTGGGTATGAACATTGGGTCTCTGAAAAGTATTGCTCTTAGGCGTCAGCTTTGCGCGCGGTTGGAAGAGTACCACTTCGTCCTCACTCCCGACTTTCCTCCCACGGCAGCCCGGCCCCGCTCGCCCTCCCTCTCCCTCTCCCGGGGCGAGGAAGAGGGTTACAGGCTGCCTTCTCACAGAAGCGTTCGGCCGCTCTGTCCTTCCGGGCCAGAGGCTTCTAAGACCAGGCCCCGGGGAGAGGCTTACAGGTGTCAAGCGGAGCCAGTGGGTGGAGAGGCTGTCTCGGGGGAGCAGTATTAGAAACCAGTTGTTGCCACCGACTTAAGTCATGTTCTCCCAACATCCGTTTTACCAGTAATAACGACATCTTTAGCTCCATCTGCCTGAATGCCAGTGCCGGTTTCCAAGACATTTAGAAACTTAGTGGAGAACGGTGGTGTCTGCTGGGCTTCCTCAAAGGCCAAAGCGACCATGCTTGCGCGGGAAGTCCATAAATGCAATAGCTCGTTGGAATTCCAGACGAAAAGGAGGACATTCAATGGCTCTTATGAATAAACCCACAGCATATCTTCTTTTTACATAGCCTGCTTTTCTGCTAAGCAATATAGACATTTTAAAACTTTTTTAAAGATTTATTTTGCTTTTAAGTACCTTTCTTGAATGTCAGACTGATGTTTTATTTTTATTTGACATCACACTAAGAGGCAACACAGCATCATAGTAGATATCCCATACAAGCAAGAACC